ATGGCTTGGAATTGACTCTAAACAGCAGGAGGTTTTGGGGATTTCTTTACAAACAGACTGGGAGCCCTGGTGACCTAGTGCACAGCTTATCAGCTGCTGATGGAAAAGTGGAACTCTGGTGGGGTAGCCCATAGGGGAGGCGCACCAATAACTCTAAGACAGCGCCTCCCTGGTGGTTCTAGTCCACCAGCAGCTCCACAGCAGAAAGATGGGCAATCTCCTCCCGTGTGATTTACCGTCTCTGAAAGTTCTTTGGAGGGTTAGCTATGAGTCTATTCTAACTCCATGGGAATGGTCGATTCAAAAAGTCATCAGTTTGAATCCACTAAGTGCTTCAAGGATGAAAGGTGAGCAGTCTCCTCTTGTCAAGATTTACAGGCTTGGAAACCCAATGGAAGAATGGAGAGACGGAGGTGTAGAGGGTTGCTATGGGTAGGAATTGATTTGATAGCAGTGGGTTAGGAGCAGAACAAGATTTTACTTCCCAGTGACTTAATTTTCATGATCTTCCTGCTTCCCATCATGATTACTCTCTTTATTTTGGTTAGGTATCAATTTCTAGGCCAATAGTATTAAGGACGAAAGAGAACTTAAAGCAAAGCTCTGTTTGTGCCAGATTTTTACACAGACATTAAATCAAAACCCAAGCCGTTAGCTACTGAGTCAATTCTACAGGACAGAGAATTGCCCCATAGGGTTTCCATGGCCAAACTTTATGGTAGCAGACCACCACTTCTTTCTCCCAACGTTCAAACCACTGACCTTTACATCAGTTGCTGAGTGCTTAATCAATGTACCACCAGGGCTCCTTTGTAATTTCACAAAAACACAGTAAACTAAGTTTATCGTTACAAAATCAAATGCAATAGTCCAGGTTGGAAATGGGTAGGCTAGGTGATTGTTCAAGATCAGATTTTTTTAATAGGAAGCTTCCAAATTTTCAGCATTGATGTTGTTGTTGTTGTTATGTGTCATTGAGTTGCCTGTGACTCATAGTGACCCTATGTCCAACAGCTCTGAACCCTGCCCTATCCTGAGCCAGTCTCACTGACTTTGACACCCCTAATGCCATTGCCCCAGTATTGTGTCAATCCATCTCATCCAGGGTCTTCCTCTCCTACACAATCTCTCTACCCTTCCAAGTATGATGCCCTTCTCCAAGAACTGGTTCCTCCTGGCCATGTGCCCAAACTATGTGAGTCAGAGCTTCAAAATCCTAGCCTCCAAGGAGAAACTTGGTTTCACCCTCTCCAAGACAGACCTATTTGTTCTCTTGGCAGTCCATGGTGTGTTCAATACATTTCTCCAGCACCACAACTCAAAGGCATCAATTCTTCTTCTACCATCCTTAGTTATTTTCCAGCTCTCTGATGCATAACTAACAAAACCCAAATAATTGTAGAAGATTGGTAAAAAATTTATACATTCCTCCTGCTGTTTTATCCATGCACCTTTGCAATATGACCTCATTGCTCCTTTCAACACGGAATGGCATCTATTTCTTGTATCCTGGAATCTTGCAATGCCCTCCCACCTGAGGGTCAGCTATAAGCTAGTTATGACTTGATAACAATAAAAGGAAAAAACAACCTACACACTGGAATAGCAAGCAAAACCTAAAGTATCTAAGATAGATCTAACAAATATGTGTAAGCTTAAGCTTATTGTGGAAAAATTAACTTTATTGAAATGAGATCTGAATATACAAAACTCAAACTCATTGCTGTTGAGTTACTTGCCAGTCACTGTGACCCTCCCTCAGGTTTCTGAGCCTGCAAATCACAACAGGAGGACATTGCCCAGCAGACTGCCCATTCTCCCGCAGAGCAGCAGGTGGATTTGAACTGCCAGAGATGCCTTTAGATTAGCAATACGATTCTCAGCCAACTATGCCACCAAGGGGCCCTAGTGAGGTAAGGAGAAAAACACCCTTATTCAAATCAGAGTTTTACTAGATGTTACATGGAATTTGATATGCCAGTTCAAAAAATTATTTTAAAATGTTTGCATCTTTGAGATGGTTTTGGGCTGCCAACTTGAGATCCTCTGCTGTAGATAAATCTATGCAAACTTGAGACGTCGCTGGGTTCCAACTCAGTGCAATAGCAGCAGAAAGGTTTGTCTGTGTATGGGGGTTAGCAAAGAGGTGGCCAGACCAAAGGAGTCACGTTGATAGAAACAATTTCTGATTTGTAGCAGGCATGGGGACGGATACCTGTGAATCAAGCAGCTTGTTGTTTATTTCAACAGATGTCAGCCAAGACAGGTGACATTGTGGTGTTATATAAGACTCCTGGGAATTTATATTTAAACCTGGGAATGGAGAGAGCCTAGCTGAGGCTATGTTTTCACTATTTTTGCAATATGCAAACTAAAAATAGAAAGTGGATGCCAAGAAAAAACACATTTTGCATACCTATGTTTTGAATCTGTATTAATTCTGGATGTTAGCCATTTATGGTTTGTAAAGGGAGAATAAAAGTGGATTGGAGCCAACAAAAGATGAAAAGCTTCCTGTCCCCATAAATGTAATCTTTTTTCCCCTCATACATTTCCTACACTCATCTCATTGAGCCCAGATGACCTTCATCTGCAGAGAGAACTAATTTCTAATCAGAGAGATTTAAAAAAAAATAGTTTTTATTTTATACTGGTTTACTTGTAAAGTTTGTATACAGTACTTTTCACACCGGATCTTTCCATTTCCTTTACCCACCCCTCCTTCTATCCATTAAAGTGTGTGACCCTGCAATTTCCCCCCTGCCTATCCTCACTTCTCTGCTCCTATCCTGCCCCCCCCTTGAAACCTCATACACGTTTTACTAGTTATCTACTTCTACAATAATGGTTTTATACAGTATTTGTCTTTATGGGTCTGAATTAGTTCACTAAGCATAATGCTCTCCAGTCCCTCCCAAGTTAGGTAATGATATTCAAAATCACATGTGCTGCATAGTATTCCATCGTGTGAATGTACTATCATTTCTCAATCCACTCCATTGTAGTTGGACAACTGGGCTGTTTCCATGTTCTTGTGATGGTGAATAATGCTGCTATGAAGACTGGTGTACAAGTCTCAATTTATGCCTCAGTTCTCATTTTCTCAGAGTATATTCCAAACAGTGGAATAGTTGGTTCTTGTAGAATTTCTATGTTCAGCTTTTTGAGGAAATGTCAAAGTGCCTTCTAGAGTGGTTGTACCATTTTACAATCCCACCAACAGTATTTAAGTGTTCCTATCTCTCCACATCCTCTCAAACATTTCTTCCTGCCTGTTAAATTTTAATCAGAGAGATTCTTGAAGGAGTAGAAAGTGGTATCAGATTTTTGACTGAATGAAAATTAGCTTGAGGGGTGTGAAAACACGTAATATTGAGTGAATCCATAAAAAATAGCATTATCTCCTAAGTGGGTTAAGTTTATTTCCTGTCTTTCTCTATAACAAGGATTCAAAAGACAAGTATTTACTTTTATTTACTTTTCAACTATTATACTGCAGGCATTGTTGTATACAATGAAGGAATGTGGGGATAAATAAAACATAGATGCAAATTGTTCTGATTCTTTGTTGGATTTTCATTTTAATTATTATAATCACATGCTCACTTGTTGACAATCATTGAGCAAGTTGCTGTTGTTTTGGTTTTTTTAAATTTTATTTTATTATTTTTTGTGTGTACCATCAAATCAGATCTGACTGGTACAGGAGGAGATTGTTCCTCTTTCTTTAGCAGAGCATCTGGAGGATTCCAACCGTGCATCTCTGAGATTGCAGTTGCAACTTCTTGCCACTAGGCCACCAGAGCTCGCCAAGTTGCTGTTGTTTTAAGGTCTTGCCAAATCACCCATGGCTCATAAACACTTCTAACAGATCAGAACTTTTCTCTATCTGATGCCATTGTCAAGATCTCCCCCCGAGTGTTACAGTCACTATGTCAATCTATCTTGTTGAAGGTCTTCCTCTCTTTCTCTAACCCTCCTCCTTTCCCATTATGATGTCATTTTTCCAAGGACTCATCCCTCCTGAACAACATGGCTAAAGTATGTGAGAAAAGTTTCATCATCCTTGCCTCTAAGGAGCACCCTGGTTGCACTTTCTCCAAGACCAATTGCCCTTTGGGAAGTCCATGGTTATTCTATGCTCTTCACCAACACCACAATTCAAAGTTACAGATTCATCTTTAGTCTTTCTGACACATTGTCTAACTTCTAGATGCATAGGAGGCAATCGAAAATGCCATAGCTTGAAAGATACTGTGTGCCAGACCCTGTGAAATTGTGAGAATATAGAGATGACTAAAAGTGTCCCATCCTCCAATAGAGCAGCAGGAAGAAGACTGACCAATAAATGAATAAATGGGCTGTGACATTAGAGCATGATCCATGCTGTGAATGTCTATGGATTGACTGGGGTCATCTAGCCAAGAATCACAAGGCAAGAAAACATCTTTTCAGAGATGATGTCTGAGTCAAGTCACATAGACTAAAAAGCTGTACAGGAAGGGCAACACAGAGGGAACAGTGTGTCTTAAGGCAGATGAGTGGATGTGCAGTGAGTAGATGCAGAAATCCATGTCAAAGGCTCTGTGACTGAAATGGCAGCGTGGTGGGATCTTACTTCTGCTAAGAAGAGCACTTTGACAGACATTTGAAGTGGGAGAAGAGGAGAGCTCTTGTGGAAAGAGTATTTTGTGTGCAGGGGCAAGGTAAGAAGTTTACTTATCCAGCAAAGAGTCACAGTATCAAAGTGGTGAGCAACAAGAACAGAGTTGCTCAAGAGCAGGTACAAGAGGACAGATTCAACAATCCAACCTGGAGAAGGAATTGGAGATACTAAGCATGTCCCTTTATAGCACAAAATAAGAGGTTGACTCCTTACAGGAGCTCCTTTAGAAAAGTTCCAGATCTAGAGACACAAGTGAGTGGTGAGGAGACCCAAACCAATGCAAAAAGTAAAAAACAACTCAAAATCACTCACTTTTGAGTTAGAATCAACTTACATCTTGTCCTCCAGTTTGGTTTTCTGAGGTGGTTTTGGCTGAGGCTTGGGTATGGACTGTTTGCTCTCAATTGGGTATGAGGTGATTGGATTTGGCCTCATATTTAAAGTGCATTCTGTCACTAGTTTGGGGCTGGAATCCAGTTTGGGAAGATGAGTGGAACAGCTGGATTCTACAAAGGTGTGTTTTCTAATTTTGGTTGAGGCTTCGGTGTGGAACGTTTGCTTGCAATTGGGTGTGAGATAATTGGATTTGGCCTCATCTTTTTGGTGGAGCTCCCAGATTAAAACAGGCTTGGAAGCAGGAGTGGCATCCAATTCCAAAATAGCTTGCCTCTGGAAACTCTATGAACTTAGAGAAACAATGAAAATTATACAGGTCTTATTCAGGTCTTTCATTCATAGGGTCTATGACTTGATGGCATTTAACAACAACAACAACAAAGTGAGTGGGAGGAGACTGCCCATCTTTTCCCCAAGGAGCCAGCAATGGCTTAAAACCACCAGAGAGGTTCTGCCTTCGGGTTAGCAGCTGCTTAACCCCTTTGTTACTTGTGGTACATATTGTAACTGTCTACATTTCCCACCCCTGTGGTTTAGTGGAAAGCTCTTATCCCACTTTTAGTGGGTGCTAACATCTGGTGGGGTGCTGTATGGCTGTGCAAATCTGTAGAAATGGTTCTCATGCCACCAACTCCAGAAGAGACCTCCCAGTACATATGAATTACAATAATTTTCTAAAAATCATATTAACTAATTTTTTTCTCTCTCACTAAGAAATGCCTATCATTACTTGAAAGCACATCATTTGAATAAAAATTCAAAGTGGGAGGGAAAACTCATCTTGAAAGGCTTAATGAAATCTCCAGCCTGTTCCCCAACCACACTCCCAGAATACCAGCACCAATGTTTCAGAATGGTCAGAAGCCCTGGAAATTCTTTTCTAGGATTTAGATTCAAAACTTAACTCATTGCCATCAGATGGAATCTCACTGATTGGAGCCCTCCCCTGGGTTTCTCGGGCTATAATTTTTTAAAAATTATTTTTAGGTTTGTTTTTTTTAATGTATTACATTAGTTTACTTACAAAATTGAATACATTATTTTTCACACCAGATTCTTCCAATTTCCCTCACCCCCCTACCCATCAATTTGTACAATTCCATGATTAATCCCTGCCCTCTGCACATCCTCATCCCTTTGTTTCCATCCCCCCCCTCCCCCGTCTCCTGGATCCTTATACTCATTCTACAATAATGGTTTTATACAATATTTGTCCTTGTGAGACTGAGTTAGTTCACTCAGCATAATGCTCTCCAGTCCCTCCCAAGTTAGGTAGTAATTTAGGCTATCAATCTTAATGACCAGAGACCACTAATTTTAAAATTGTTACCTATTAATGGTTAGCAATACTTACTCATTTTAAAAACCCAAACAAACCCAACTCATAGCTGACCCTCGAGCAGGTTTTTAGAGGCTGTAAATCTCACAGAAGGAGACTGTCCATCTCTCTCCTGCAGAGCAGGTGGTGGATATAACTGTCAGAGAGGTGTGAGCTTCTGGTTAGCACTGCAGCTCCCAACCCAGTATGCTACCAGAGATCCCTCGTTATTAAAAGTAATTACTAAATATAAAAAGGTTCCCCCAGTTAATTCATATATTCATAGATGAATAATTCTCTACTTTAACCCAAGACATATCTGACATCAGCAATGATCTCTCTCATGACAAGACCTCTTCTGAATCCAGCTTGAAATTTTGGCAGTTCCACGTTGATGAACTGTTCTAGCTGTTTTTGAGTGATCTTCAGAAAGATTTTACTTGCATATGATATTAATGGTATTGTTGGATAATTTCAACACTGGATTACCTTTTTTTTGGGGGGGGGGAAACAAATATGGATCTCTTCCAGTCAGTTGGCCAGGTACATTTCTTCCAAATTTCTTGGCATAGACTAATGAATATGTTCAGGACTACTATTGTCAAACTATGTCAGTTGGTATCCCCAGTTCCTGGGGCCTTATTTTTTACCATTGCCTTTAGTGTAGTTTGGACTTCTGCCTTCAGTACAACCAGCTCTTGATCATATGCTACTTCCTGAAATGTTTCTATGTCGACTAATTCTTTTTGGTACAGTGACTCTGGTATTCCTTATATCTTGATGCTTCCTGAATGATTCAAGATTTTGCCCATAGAATCCTTCATTGTTTTAACTTTGGACTTGATTTTGGTTTTCTTTTCTTTCAGCTTGAAAAATACTGAGTATTTCCTTCTCTTTACATTTTTAAACTTTAGCTCTTTACACATTTCATGACAATGCTTTCCCCCCCACCTTTTTAAAAAAGGTTTTTATTCTTTTAATTTTACATTGGCTTGTATACAAAGTTTGCATACATTGTGTTTCACACTGTGCTTCATTCACATTGCGTTTCAGAGAATCATTCTGATTCATTGTGTTAGAAGATCCAGCACCATTAAAACCATGCCCATTACCCTGTCTTTCCAGATCCCCAGCAAATCTTTATCATTTCCTTTACCCGCCCTTCCTCCACCCACCAAATTATGTGACCCTATGATAAGAGGTGGATTGATTCAGTAACTGGGATAATCGGGATGGGAGTGTCAGAGACAGTGCGATTGGCACAGGACAGAGCAGAGTTTAGGGCTGCTGTACATAGGGTCACTATGAGTCGCATAACAACAAACAACAACAATGATAACAACATGACTTCCCCACCTGCCCATCCTCACCCTTCTGATCCTACTTCTCCCCCCTTTGGGTCCCCATATAAATTTTACTAATTATCCTTCTATTTTTACAATAATGGCCCTATCCAGTATTTATCCTTACGAGAGTTTGTTTACTCAGCATAATGCCCTCCAGTCTCTAGCAAGTTATGAAGTGGCCTAGTGGCAAGAAGCTGTGCTGTAATTCCAAGATTACCGCTTTGTCTTCTTGGACTGCCCTTTAAAACCTTCTGTCCATCTCTTTTACTCCAGCATTTCTTCCCTTTGTTTTGGCCTCTTGACATTCTAATGCAATTTTCAGAGTCTCTTCTGACATCTGTTTTGGTTTTTCTTCCCTGTCTTTATAATGCCCTTTTGCTTTTTTCATGAATAATGTCCTTGATGCTATTCTACCCTCATTTGGTCTTTGATACTTAGTGTTCAGTGGATCAAATAATTCTTTGATAATTGTTTTTACAGTGAAGTGGGAAAGACTCAAGGGCATATTTTGGTTTTTGTGGACTTGTTTTCATTTCCTTCATCTTCAGTTTGAACTTGCCTATGCGTGATGAATGGTCTGTTCCACAGTCAGCCCCTGGCCTGATTTTGACTGCTGATCTTGAGCTTCTCCATCGATTCTTCCCACAGATGTAGTCAATCAGATTCCTGAGTACATGAGGTAATGTCCAGGTGAAGAGTTGTTAATTTTTTTAAAAAGGTATCTGGAATGGATAAATCATTGATCGTACAACGGTCATTAATTTGAGCTCTAGTTTCATTTCTTTCACCAAGTCCATATTTTCCAACTAACATTCCTTCTTTGTTTCCAACATTGGCATTACAATCACCAATAATTAGTAATGCAACTTGACTGCAGGTTCCATCAATTTCAGAGTGCAAAAGTTGGTAGAAATCCTCAATTTCTTAATTTTTGGCTTTGGTGGTTGGCGCATAAAGTTGTACAATAGCTGTATTAACAGATCTTCCTTGTATGCACATGAATAATATCTGATCACTTACAACATCATACTTCAAGGTAGATCTTGAATGGTTTTTTGACTATGAATGCAATACCATTCTTCCTCAATTTGTCATTATAGGCACAAGAAATCATGATGGCCTGATTCAAAGTGGCCAATGCTAGTCCATCTCAGCTTACTAATGCATAGGATATTGAACTTTGTGCATTCCATTTTGTTTTTTACAACTTCTAATTTTCCTAGACTCAGTTCATATATTCCAGATTCCAATTCTTAATGGATGGAGCACTGGAGACAAATTCAAATGTGCAAATTCAAATTCTCAACAAGGGGTTCAAATCAGAATGAACTGATTCATACAAACATGTAATAAAATGGAAGGTATTTTATGACATAAGTATCACTCACCTCTCTTTCGAAATTAAATGTTAAAAATTACTGTTAAAACTTTTTATATCCTGGTGCCAAAACCCAGGAGCAAATCTCATTAAACTTAATTACAACTCAATTAAGTTCTCCTTTAATTTTGTGGAAAGCAAATACAAGCCTCCAGCATTCGCCTCCATCTGAAAGGAGAATTGTTCTTCCTATTGCCAAGTTGAAACTGACCCATAGATGACACTCCAGCAGGTTTTTAGAGGCAGTTAATCACACAGGAGACTGCTTATCCTTCTTACATGGAGCAACTGGTGGACTTGAACTGCATACTTTTGGGACTGCAGCGTCACTTTTTGCCACTAGACCACCAGAGCTCCCTATGAAACAGAAACATCATAAAGTGAAGTTGTTTGTGGTGTTGTTGTGTCGAGTCGCTTGTGACTCATAGTGATCCTGTGTACAAAAGCCCTAAACCCTGCTCTAACCTGTGCCAACTTCACCATCTCTGACACAATTACTCCCACCACCCCAGTCACTGAATCGATCCATCTCATTGATCCGTCTTCCTCTCTTGTGCTGTCCCTCCACTCTTCCAAACTTGATGTCCCTCTCCAAGGGCCAGTCCCTCCTTGCAACATGCCCAAAGTATGTCAGAAGAAGCTTCAGAATCCTTGCCTCCAAGAAGCAGCCCAGCTTCACCCTCTCCAGAACAAACCTGTTCGTTTTCCTAGCAGTCCATGGTATATTCAACACTCTTCTCCAGCACCACACTTCAAAGGTATCTATCTTTCTATCATCCCTAGTCACTGTCCAACTCTGCGATGCATAGCACACAATTGTGAAGACTATAGCCCAGATCAGGTGCACCTTAATGAAGAATTAGTAATAATTCTCCTCGTTGTTGTTGAGTCGGAACTCATGACTGATCCTCCAGCAAGTTCACAAGGGAGAAGCAGCTGGTGGATAGGAACTGTCTGGGTCAGAATCAGGTAAAACTGGGTGGAGAGAATGGCAGGG